GGACTGTTCCCAGTCTAATGTTGAATTTAAAGTGTGAACCACTACATTATTTTCAGCATTAATTTTCTCGTTGCCCAGGTTTATGGATGGCTTGCAGACATTGGGTGTTGCCAATGCCATAATAAACCATCATGACCAGATCAGACCCCTTTTTGTTGGAGGACTTCATGCTGTCAGTCTCGAAGACATGCAGGGTCTGTTCCAGCTGCACCTGTCTGAACCTGGGAGCAAATTTTCTCAATTTTTTTTTCACATTTTGTCTCTCATAGTTGAGGTCTACCTATGATGTCAATTACAGGCCTCTCTCATCTTTTTAAGTGGGAGAACTTGCACAATTGGTGACTGACTAAATACTTACGTATTTTCCCCACTGTATATGTAGGGGGCAGCGTCTAAAACTTCTTCTCAGATCGTCCTGAAGACATACTTCTTCCTGCTTCAACTTTCATGTCCAGGCTTGATTGTCAATGGTGCAGACATGCCATCCAGTTTTACAGATGAGAACAGTTTGTGTATATTCTTATGTTACAATCTTATTATCTATATTAAACAATCTAACTGTGACCTTTTGTTACAAATGCTGCAGGCACAAGAGAAATATTTTCACTGAAAATTGATTCAATAGTTTCTTTCTCAGACCAAGGGGTGGTCGCTGTGCAGATGTTATTTACAGAATTAATTTTGTTTTTGGTTCTGTTTGAGAGAAGAAACAACGGCAATGAACATCTGCACTTTTATATATACAGTATATTGTAAAATTCAGACCACGTTCAAAACTGGAAGAGAGGATGAATTCTTTTTAAGGCACAGTGCAGCAGATTACTCCTCTTCCTCTGTTTCTTCTCCTGACATAATTACAACCAGCCCTCAAGAGACGAAATAACTGTGTCAGAAACAGTACTGGTCTTTGAGAATTAGTTGCCTTTGACCTGGCAGTAACATATTTCAAAATATGGAGAATTATTTCCTTCTAAATTTATACTTAAAACCTCATTTAAATTTGGGCAAATTGTGTCAGCGTGTCCTAAAGGTACTGAAATATTTTGGGGAATCAGAGCCTGACGCAGAATCGTTTGTGGATCAAAACCCAAAATGCAGACGGATACAGCGAGACTCAGAGGTAAATTTAAACTGATTTAATTATAGTAATAAAAATAAAACAGGCTGACAGGTAAGCAGAAACTACTTACATATATTCAAACTTCATAGAACATGGAACCAAACATGAACATTCCTGGGAGACACCAAGCCCTGATAGGGGAGTAGACTGACAGAATATCAAGAGTAACTACAGGTAAGGACCAACACCTGGGGAAGAGCAGCAGGTGAGAGCAGAAGGGGCAGAAGCTGAACAGCAAGAGGGAAAAAAATCACACAGATGAAGCTGAAAAGAAAATATCAAGATCTTATAAAACTATAAAAAAATAATGAAACAAAACACAGATCCTGACAAAAACAAGACGAGGGAAAATAAGAGAAAATGAAATAAATTTGAAAAAGCAAAGATGGTTAAAGACAGAGAGAGGGACACAAGAAACAGGTGAAAGAGCAGGAAGGATGTTAAAAATAAAAAATGGGTTGAGTTAACAAGGAAAACGGACAAGAGGAAAGTTTAGGCAGAAATAAAGCATCAAATAAAAATGGCATGACATTTATGTACAGCAGGAGCAGTGAAAAACAGAGCAGTTATGAAGCAATAAAAGGTCTGAATCTAAAATGTGAGACATTCTGAAACTGACTATTTACCTGGCCTGTAGCAGGTTTTACAACACCTTCATCATTTAACTGGGGTTTAATAAAACATTTTTATTAACCCCTTTTCATCCCTGCAACATCAAAGCCCAACTTTATAATTTCAATACTATAAACAGATATTTGACAGATTTTTCTTCTTAAAGCATGACCAACCAAGCATCACAGGACACGCGCACACACACACACACACACACACACACACACACACACACACAC